TTATGTATGTACTATATATTTTTTTGTATTTAATTATAAATTTTAACTTTTCAAAAAATAATATTTATAAAAAATAATATTTTTAATGATGTTTTCATGTACACGTATGTAATGTCGAATAAAATCGCTAATTTTCTTGTATCTTCATATCCGTCACAAACATTATTTTAATATAAATAATGTAATATAACAACGTATGAAGAGGCGTAGGCAAAAATATCAAGTTGGGTTAAGAATAATCCAATCTCGAAGATTCATATATCGTGTGCCAATCTTGCGACCATACCAGTTTTATTTAGCATGAAAAGTGGCATTATTATCCGTTCGGTATACGTACTATCAGTTTTCTCTCAGCAGGGAGACGGATGCGGATTGCCACGTACTTCCTGTCTGCAGTCTCGAGCTCCACTCTCCTCAAGTCATCGCATCGCGTGCTATTATTTGCTGCAAGTCGCGTTTGCACGTCGCTATTTCGTTTGCATGTTCGATTTGAGGGCCATTTTTCGAATTTTTGTATACGATAACGTGTGTCGACTTCTTTTCGAATTGAATTTTTGTATGTTACGTTGACTTTAAGGAGAGTGATATTATAAGTTCACGGTGAAATATTAATGTTAGTTTTTAATGATCAAAAAAACTTGAAATATATGATTTTATTTTATAATATTTATGTATATTATCTTATAATATCGATATTATTTTTATTAGTTTATTATATTGTTTAAAATAATATAGATAATCAATACAATGTATTTTTGTCTTTTATATAGAATGGATCACGTAAAATTAAAAGTTAATTTTTCAAATTGAATGAAATTGAAACAATTTTTAAAACATAATTAATTTAACATTTAATTAATTTTTTTTCATTAGTTTTTATAAAATAATTTGTATATAAATAAATATATCAGAATAAAAATATTTAAGTTATATTTATTTTAATATTCTATTCTATTCTATTTTGCATAGAAATAAAAATAAATAAAATATATAAAAAAAACAATTATTATGTATTATATATACACACATAGATAGGAATTTTATTACATAGATATAAATCAAGAAATAATAATTAGATAAAAGATTATTTAAAAGATTTTATAGTATAATTCCTTCTTGTACTAACCCCTCAATTATTTCAAATAGCATTTTAATCAATATATATTAATATATTCGTAGGATATTTTTGGAAATTAAAATAAATGTAAAGATTGGTAAAAATTTCAATTAAAGACGTATTTATAAGAAGTTGAACTATTTTTAGCATTAGACGAACTAACAGAAAAAGAAAACTCTATTTCCATTACACTTCCGTTGCATATATTCTTGACTTCATTTAATGTAAATTTAATTTACATTAATTTGTTCATAACTTTATATATTTTTTATATATTATATAAAATACATAATAATTGTTTTTTTATATATTTTCTTTATATATATTTAGATATTATATATTTTTATAATTTTTTTATATATTATATTTTATATATATATTATTATATATTATTATATATTATATTTTTTATTATATTATTTTTATTATTTTATTATTTTTTAATCTATATTGATTATTATATTTTAATTTTTATATTATAATAACATTTTTATATATTTTGTATAACTATCAATTATAAAAAAATTGTAACTGAAAATCAATATCGAGTTAATTAATGAAACAAATCTTATTGTTAAATAAAATAAAAACTTTATATCTACATAGTATTGAGGGCAATATGATAACTCAAAGGATAATGATAGTTTAATCTGGAATACCAACATAAAACTCTAAATTGATTTCGAATCGATTAACAATTCACAACTAATAGCAACAATATTATATAATTGTTTTTTCATTCTGAATTTTATGTATAAATGATCGAAAAACTATATTGACAGTGTTTACACAAAAAATTATTGACTTGATTTACATTGACTTTTACATTACTTTCATTAATTCTTATATACTCTTATACTTTATCTTCTCTACTCGTATGTATTCTTTAACGAGAAATTTATTTGTTACAACTTTAACTCTTTAGCAAAATAAATATTACTGTTTAAATAAAATGTTTTTTTGCTTCCGAAAAAATAAAAGTTTTATATTCATATAAAGATTGTATATAAAGATGTAAAATAAAAGTTTCAGCAATCATATTTATTATATATTTTATTAAATAATTAAGAAAATTCTGTTATTTCTTTTATAATAAATAAATATAATTAATTATTTTTATTTTTTATCTATCATAAAAATAAATATAATTCTCTTTTATTTCTTTGTTATCATATATATATTGTTTTATAATTTAAAACAAAAATAAATTCATTACGGAATGAAACAATTTCACAAATCATAAATATGAAAATCAATGTTATATTATATTAATGTAGTAAATAAGAAGTAGAATAGTACACTGAATGTAGAACAAGAAATCAATGAACATGATTGCATTATTTTCTAAAATAAATATATTTATATTTTTTTCCATTTACTATGTTTATATATATTTACTTAAAAAATATTAACATAAAGAGAAAAGGTCAACTTCGATTAATTTTCTTTATTTAAAATTATATTAAATTTCCTAGAATAATTATAACAATTAATTGTTACTAAATATATGTTATATAATGTAAATAGTTTTTAATTTATTATTATTAAAATTTTATTTTAATATACTTTTTATGATTATAATTGATAGATAATATAATACCTGGCAATTAGTATTATTTTTTAAAATACTATTCTTTAAATTATATTATATTCATTAAAATATATTATAAAAATAACATATTTATATAATATTATACAAATATTTTCAATAAATTATCATATAATTGAATATGTTTAATGATAATAAAATAATATTTTATTTTACTTTTTTAATTTAATGTATATAAACTATATATATATATAGTTTATATAGTTTAATATATGTATTATATATATATATATACTTATATATTATATTCATTATTTTATAAT